GGTCTTAAAATGTATGGAAAGGGTCTCAAAAAAGGTCTTAAAAGGTTTTACATTTGACATATACCCTGCTATTGTAATAAATGGAAAAGTCTAAGCATCATCGTTTTAAAGTNGAGTCACAGACTGTGGTGTTCACAGAAGCAGAGTTAGTGACAGAATCAAACAGAGAGCCACAGGACACAAAATGCTCATTAAAACAATTTAGTATGGTGGCCCTGTCCGATATAGTGCCAGATACTGTGGTAATGCACGGGGGTAGCTCATTACGGATATCACTGGTGGATATCGATTTTATGGCTTTCCAACATTTTCCAGGATTATTCAGGTCCTTTTGGTAACTGACAGATAATACTTAGACTCAGTGGCGAACTGTGTATCACAACTGGACCTTCTGTAGACACACACCCCCCCCTCTCCGCGGCATTATAATGTCCGTCTTTTCACTGAATTGTCGTCTTGAAAAGGGTACTCACAACCATTCCGCAACAACTTCATCTTCACCTGTTACACTTGTCATTTCAACGTTAAAAACAATAAAACGGCATGAATTGCTTCGTCGCATTCATCTAGATCAGTGGTTCTCAAACTTTTTTCAATCATGTACCCCCTTTGGAAAAAAAATTCAGCCAAGTACCCCCTGATCAGCGCAAATACTATTTGTTAAGGAAAAAATGCCAAAGAGGTACAGTACAGCGCTGCACCATCAGTGTCTGATTTATTAAAACAACAACCTTGTAACTGAGGAACACTTAAATGCTACATTTCAAATGTTTACAATCCATCACTAATTTCATGGCCAACCAATTTTAACATCATGTAATAACACTAAGACGACATTAGTTGCATTGAACTGATCTTTTAAAAAAGTTGTACTTACAATTTAGTGAAAAACATGGGCTTGTGCTTCACTGAGGATCTTTGTCATTCTGACATGGAGGCAACTGCAGTTATTACACTTCGCGTTTTGAAATATGTGTAACTCCGTTCATATAAAACCCACACTGTCAAACTTCTTTACTTTTCCTAAAATGTGTATATTTATCTATTATTTTTATTTTTTTTCATTAACAAAATAAATCTCACGTACCCCCTGCAGTACTCCAACGTACCCCTAGGGGTCCGTGTACCCCCATTTAGACCACAAAACAAAAAGGAAAAAACAGAAATCACTACAATTTGTCTGCGGACGATATATGCGGACGATATTTAATTGTGGACAAATCAATGTATGGGAAACACTGTTCATCATGGAAGAAGTCATGCATACACCAATCTTGAGGACGAGAGTTAGGGTGGGGAGAAAAAAAGCTGGTCAATGTATATCTTGTTACATAGTGGGTATCGTTACGACATCTGTGTTCACCTAAGTTGGCTGAGCAGGAGTTTCTTTCTTTCTCTTTTTAGGTGAGAAGTTGTCCAAGCAGCAGCTGCAGCACAGCAACATCATCAAGAAGCTGCGTGTGAAAGAGAAGGAGAGCGACACAAGGATCATAAAGCAACAGAAGAAGATCAGGGAGCAGGAGGAGGAGCTCAGGCAACTGCAGCAGGTACGATTTTAGTGCATTCAAAAAATGGGAATCTAAAAGTGAAAATGACTTTGTTGTTAAATGCCTGCTTTTCGATGCTGGCAGTACGGGCGATCTTGGCAATTGGCTTCTGTGTCATGTAGATGTGAAAGGTGGTCTTAGAGGTAACATTTCAAGTAGCTGGAGGTCGTTATCTCAAGCACATTTAGGCTAACTCCAGCTAACTTATATTCGATTGCTCCATTAAGCAGCATGTGGGTGCTCAAGAATCTAAAACCTGTTCTTCAGGCTGTCTAAATTCGTCCTGCTAGTTTTCTCACGGATGGGCATAGCAGGTTGTGGTGCTGGTTTTAACATGGGGATAGATGCAGTGAGCTCATAATGGTTGTATAAGCTTGAGTAAGAGGTGTGTCTAAAAAAAACCTACAACTTCTTATTAGGATCTCCTAGTGCTGCTGTTCTTTGCCAAATGTGACTCCTTTTTCCCTTTTATTTTCAGTAAAGCTAAAGAATAAAGTATATTTAAATGTTTTATATTTGTGCGTTATTGGTTTACCACTATTCATTACTGTTATCTTTAAATAGACATGACATGATAGTGGGTCCTCAGCTACTTTTCATGATCATACAGTGCTAGTTATGATAAACTTAAACCATTTCGAAGTCATGGCTGTGATTTTCTCCATGTTTTATGCATTAAGGTTCTAGATGGGAAGGAGGAGGTGGAGAAACAGCACAGGGAGAACATCAAGAAGCTGAACGCGGTGGTGGAGCAGCAGGAGAAGGATGTGAGCCGGCTGCAGACGGACTCTGAGGAGCTGCAGGAGAACAACCGGAGCCTGCAGGCAGCGCTGGACAACTCCTACAAGTAAACACTGACACGCCCTGATATTCATACCCAATAATAACAACAAGGACTCTGACTGTAAATCTAACCCCTGCACTCTAAATATCATTATATTATTTCATGGTTGACAGAATATACAGCGCCGACTAAGTATTTGGGAATTGAAACACTTGGTGGGACTTCTCCTTATTGGATTTGAAACTTTTGAATTTAAGGTTCAAGTGAAGGCTTCCACCTCAAATGTTAGGCTGTTTAGATCTACAATTGGTTAACAGTACTGGGATCGTTAACATTTGCATAAATAATGTTTCAGTTTGAAGGAGAGCTAAAGTAATATTTAATAAAAAACAGTTTTTTATTAAATATTACTTTAGCTCTCCTTCAAACTGAAACATTATTTATGCAAATGTTAACGATCCCAGTACTGTTAACCAATTGTAGATCTAAACNAATATTTATGCTGTTCCTTTTATTGTTTATTAATAGTTTTTAAAATATGTTTCTTTAGGGAAAAGGTGAGTGGGAAATGGAGCACACACACGTACTGTATGTATTAGCATTACATCTTCTAATGATCTTTTACTGTAAATGGTCACATCAAAAGCAAGATCAAGATTTGTGTTTATTATTATTTTATGTGATATTATGAAGGGCTCAGAAAATGCAACAAAAACAAACATCATATGATTCATATAAAAAACGTCATTCTTAATCAAATTGAATCTGCATGTTTAGTACATTAATAAATGTTGGGACAACTGTATGAAATTGTTCAAATTATATTTATTTGAAGACTTTAGTGCAGCATCGATGGTGATGTAGTGTTCTGTATGGATGCAATGAAAATGCTAACTTTTAATGGGTGAATCCAAACAATTCAAATTAAGAGTAGAAGTATTGTTCACCACCCAGATAAATGTTTATTAATTTACATATATATAAGCTGTAGAATCCAATTTTCAGGATTTCAATCGTGGACCACTCTCAGGTCTACAGCACATGTTGTGATTTGCAAGGAGTCAAGAACAATACATAAAGGTCTCTGTACAATATTTTTATATATTTCTTCAACTATTTTAAATCAAGAAATAAAGAAGGAGGAATTTTATAGTGCAAAAAACTTAAACCATCTCGTACAGTCTGTAGGAAACTGTCTATAAGCTACTATGTAAAAGGTTTAATCATGAGAAATGATTTCTAAAGATCCCAAAGACTTTAAATGGTATCCTTCATACTGGTTCTGTAATAATATATTGTATGTAATGCAAAATCCCAACACCCCCGCTTAAATATGTTCCTTTAAAATAAAATAAGAGATAAAGATAAAAGAACTTTCCTTTGACACAGTGATTAAACTTAAATTATCTGTCTTTGGGACTGCATGTGTGGCTATGTTGGTTGATTGGTTTGTTGATAGTGTCCCAGAATCGACACAAGAACAGTCAAAGTTTATTTCTGGTTCTTCAGAAGTTCGTCTATCTGGCATTTGTACATGTTCTTCACGTCTATCAGGTCCAGCCTCAGCTCCTCTGCCTCTTCGGCTTTTTCTCCGTACATCTGCAGGATGGTGTTGTGCCTCTGCTGCAGATCCTGCAAAGCACAGCCACACACACATCAGAAACACACTCTGCAAATACAGCATTCAAGAATCCTGTGTTTGCTTTTATAGCACTTACCTTGAGATGGACTTTCAACGTGGGAATCTCCTTCACCATCTCATCCATCTCATCGGTCTGATTGGTCAGTCGGACCAGCTCTTCTGCCATCACAGAACGACTCCTCTCTAGACTGGAGATCTCAATCTGAAACAGCAAGAGGACAGAGAGAAGGTAGTAAAAAACACAGATTATTTCATGTTAAAAATATACGCATCGTTAACCTTAGATAGTGAACACCACATTGCCCCTGTAGGCATGACTACGGTATTGAAGTGTATGTTATTTTGGATCAAAGTGTCAGCCTAATAAAATGTAAAAATGTTTCTTATTTTGCAAACCTGTCTATAAACCCTTGGCTGTATCTAAAGTAGATTGCCATATCTGTAAACCCACCATAAACAAATTAGACAAAGACACAGTATTTACATTTGTATTCAACGATAATCCTGTCTTTGTTCATAATTTGTTCCTTCTTTTGGAGGTATGTTTTACATTTGGTTACTGTTCCTAAATCTCTAGCAAAATAATTACTACTAATTTATGTGTTGATACTCGTCCAGATGTATCATTATTTAATTTTAAGGAAACATTGTATATTTTGGCCAGCCTTCTGTCCGCAGAAAGCTTGTGCTGGCGTTAAGCAGTACAATCAAACTAACACTAAAATACTTTACATATGTATTTAGCTCAGTTAAAAAACACTACCTGCAGCTGAGCGATCTCTCCTTCTCTGAGTTTGAGCTGAGACTGCAGGTTCTCCATGATGCTGGAGCCCCCCGACAGCCGGGCGGCCTCGTACAGGTTGGTCCCGCTCATCGACATGGACATGGTCATGTTACTAAGAGAGTGGTCTAAAAGGTCCTCCTGAGGAAGAAAGAGACAGTTTCATCCCACAGGCCATAAGACTGTTAAACACCTGAACTTTTGAAAGAACATCCATAACATTCATCTGTTCGCAACTTATATATATCAATATTCCAATTACTTGTATATGGACAACTCTGCACTATTTCCATTATATTCAATTTTATTTTATTTACTTGCACTATCATCTGTGTTATTGTGTTGCACTGTTGGAGGAGCCTGTGACCTAAGCATTTCATTGTCATAACCAGTGGTGTAGTGGGGATTTTTTTACTTGGTGGACGGGGCAGGGGTGGGGGGGTGGACGGGAGACACTATGGACGCACTCGTGAACTGTCAACGGGGGGGGGGGACCTCTGTGTCGCCTGTCAGCGCAACTTACATGAATGCCGTTTAGACAATATAATAATAAAGGGCGGTGCCGGCTGTCAGCGAACCAATTTGGCCTTTCTGCGCGACTGTCACTCAAATGCGGGACATAATCACAATTTGTGGGACGCGGGACAAATTATAAAAAAATGCTGTGTGTGCAGTCCCGCACAGTGCCTGGTCACCCTACACACACACACGCTTCAAATCAAGTTGCATAAATGCTTGAGCTACGTTTTTATTATAATTACTGTGAAATCTGCCTATTACGTTTTCGTCATATTATTACAACAAACACACACTTGCAACTGATAACACTGGCAATGATTTTAGATGTATTAGACTATTAAAAAAAGAAATCATGCTTCAAATAAGTGGGGGTGCGGCGTACCCCCGCGTCCAACGCCCACTACACCACTGGTCATAACTACACTATGTACATATGACAATAAAAGCCTTGAACTTTAACCTAAATCCAAGCTTGTGCAAACTTTTCTTCATTTCTACATTTGAACATTTGTCTCAGTGTGTACCTGGGAAAGAATAGAGGAGTGTAGAGCAGCGTTGTCCGGCACACTGATGGAGCTGGAGCGAGACAGGGAGGGTGTGGAGGACGCCGGGGGCTCTCCTACAGAGTGATTCATGGTCTTCCTCTCCTGATTGGGACATCAGTCACAAATATTAGAAAATAAAAACATCTGATTCAATTCTGATGAGATAAACCAGATTTATAATCTCGAAAAGCTCCTCCACCTTTTCCCTGAGAGCTTCATTAGCCAAGTAGCATTTCTTCTTCTCTTGCTCCACCTTCATCCTCTCCATCTCTAACTGATTGGTCAGCAGCAGCTGGTGGACGAAGCAAAAAGATGCACATGAGGAAGTTGTTTTTTTACAGAAGAGAAGAACAAGAGTTAGGGAAGACAATAATGGTACCTTTTCTTTCTTGGTTTCTTCTAGCATGCGGTTGTGCTCTCCTCGCAGATTTTCTAAATCAACATGCTCCCTATATTAAGAAAGAAAACAAGAAAATAAGTATGTAAAAGGTAGGGTAGGTAAGAATGGAGAAACCAGCTCGAGTGCGCTAGAATTTGAAAATACACAACCGGAAAAAATCTGCCCCTTCCTTCAGACTTCCTTACAGAGCCCCTCCTCCAACACACACGAACGCGCACATGACCAATGAGGGCACGAGATAAGTTTGTGCACAGATGGAAGGCTGACAGGCAGGTAGGCCATCCAGTTACTTTAGCCGGGCCGGCTCAGATGATTGGTCGTGCTTTTTACAGCGCCACGGCTTCCACAGATGACATTTTGTTTATGTATTTATTGTCAAAGCATTTATTCATTGCTATCGGGATGTTAAGAGCATTCCATGGAATAAAAAAAAAAGTGTTTCTGAAGTGAATTAACTACCCCACCTTTAATCAGTCAACAGTATCAGGGATTAGAAATGTGTAAAATACTTCTTATAACTGAATACAATCAGCATAATGGTGTGAAATCGAAACACAATTATCTATGAGCTTTCCCCCTGAAGAAGGAGCTGAAGGGTTCAACTGTGTTTTGTGTCCTATTTTCAAACTTTCTCAAAGCCCTGTGTAGGTGAGAGGCCTCAGGGGCATTCTTTTGGACCATTCAGAAATATTGTCTTCCTATGAGTCATAATGCACTGCACTGAATAATTGAAACCTTTCTGCGACAAAACCAAAAAGCATCCGAGCCAGCCAGGATTTGAACCTAGAATCTTCTGATCCGTAGTCAGACGCGTTATCCGTTGCGCCACTGGCCCAGTTGCAGCTGCTTCACATCTCACAAAATATAACCCCTTGCCTCAAAGGCCTCAACACGCATGAATGCTCGTGTCAAAGGGTAACCCTCCCCCACCCGGCCCCTGCTTCACTGACTCATAAAGCAATATGTGGTGAAACAAAAACTCTCTCTGAAGCATTAGCATTACAAGGGGAGACGTGGTGACTAGCAGTTGGATCCTTAAAATAAAAACTATGCCAGTGAGTTTCACGCATTGATGTGAGACATCCAGCAGAAGTGAGATATTTAGTGTGAAAGACATTCTAGCATAACATTCACTGCTGGGACTACTCGTGTTTTGAAATAAGGTTTAAGGAGAACAATGACCAAAATAAAACTAACTGCATCTACTGACAGTTAGCTCTGGAGCTGCTATTTGCATTATAGATTTATCTGCCATTTACTTTCTACTTTAATAAATGAAACGTTGCTGTTCTATTGTTTCTCCTTGTTTTTCAAAGTCTAAGGTAAGTCTTAGAGCACCGAGTTATCATTCAGTAAAACCTCCTCAACCATTTGAAAGCCAGACCATTGTTTAAATGGGCGCTATTATACCAGACCATTGACATGCACAAAAACCTATATAATTCTACTACAGGAAGGGAAAACCCTAAAATATCTTAAAAAGACCTCTTCAAATTAAGTCGATGAACTCAACCATAAAGAAATCAAACTATAAAGAAACACTTGATTAGACCAGTGAAATAAGAGAACAATACTAGGTGACAATGACTGGATGTACCTTGTCATTGAACTCTGTAAACTCCAGTTTAAGTTGTCATTTGTTACCTAGTGCTCTCATCCTCCAGTTTCTCTCTCTTGTTCTTCTCAGCCTCCAGCTGTGCGAGGAGCCGGGCCTTCTCCTGGCGGAACAGGGAGATCTGTGACTCCAGAGAGGCCTGCTGGGACCTGATGGACAGGAGCTCTTCACTCGCCGACCGCTCCCTCTCCACCGCAACGGCCAGCTGCGCCTGGGCATCCGCTGTGGAGAAGAAAAGGCGTTGAATCACTCACACTTATTGTTTGTTTCACACAGACAGTTAATATGTCCTTCCTCTTACCTAGCCTATCAGAGATGCTCTTCTCCAGTTTCTCCCAGGATGCAGTCTGTCCGCCTAAGGAGGCCTGCAAGTTCTCAATCTGTCGCAGAAGGGGCCGCGTTGCCGAGGTAACACTCTGGCTGAGCTCCTGGTTCCTGGTCTCTGCCTCCTGAAGCCTCTGTGGAAGATAAAGAAAATGGCATCCAATAAATACATCTATTTTGGACAGCTTATTGTGCTCATGCTTATTATATGAGCATGTTATGTTACCTGCTGCAGCTCACTGATCTCCTCCCTCAGATAGTCTTCCTTCCTTCCTTGCTGCTGCTCAGCCCTCTGCAGAGCCATCCTCAGGTCCGCCACCTGTACACAGAGTTAGATTAATAAAGGATGTCATGTTAAAACGTGCAATGTTTTTATACTTTCATGTCATGAATTTTAACTTCATTATATTTTTATTTCAAAATTCTTCTTACTGGGGTGTTTCAAAACAGGTGTACATGAAGATATATTGTACCTAATACACAAGATCATGTGCACACAGGTGGACTTTATTTACCTCGTTATATGACTCTGAAAGTCATTGTTATTGGGCTTTATTGGATGGGGGGTGAAGGGGCTTTTTAAAACAAGCTTTACTAACTTTACTCATTTGGACTATTTTGTGTTGGGCCATTACATAAAATCCAAATAAAAATCATTTGCAGGTTTTAATGCAATCAAATAAAAAAACATCAAGGGGTGCAGGGGCGCGGGAAGGGGGGGTGCTGAGGGGGCTGCAGCACCCCCATCTGTTGGCGGAGAGTTGTAACTGCAACGCCAAAAAGTTCACTAAACAAATCAATACAAAAGTTTTATTTTGAGTTACTATTTTTGAGTTAGCATTTTAGTGTAAGTCTATAAAAAGCTTCACTATATAAGAGAAAGTGATAATGCGGTGTGCTTTCTCTGTTGCTCTGCTATAGAAAAGAAGCTCGTCAGTGCAGACAAGATCAGGGATGGGAGTTTGTGAAAGCAGGGTTTAACAACTGGCGAAAGGCAGGGGAAACATTTAGGGAGCATGAGAAGTCCCATCAACACACAGGCCGTCCACAAACTGGCAGCATTAAGACGAACAGCGATGAATGCACTGCTCTCACAAGCTGTTGCTAAAGACCAAATGACTGCATTTAATATGATGTTATTATACAGGGCCGCCCCCCCCTACACGCATATCACGCAGAGCCCTCGCGGATGGGGCCTCATTTTGCGGAGGGAGCCTTTGAAGCGCAAACGCGGCGCACCTACAGTGTAGTGCTCCACTAGCACCCCCCACCGCACCCGCACGCCGCACCCCCATCTCTGACTGAATTCCTGCGTCCCTGAAGGGGTGTGAATACTTTGGCAAGGCAGTGTATGTTATAATAGCTGCACCACTCACTCACAAGAGGTGTATTGAGGCTGCACAAAAGCCTAGTCTAATGTTTACTTTAAATGAATGCTAATGATCCTCTATAGCAGACAAATGTACATCCCAAGCCCGTGTTACCTGATTGGCCAGAGCCTCCTGTTGCATCCTGCCCTCCTCCTGGTTCTTCTCCAGGGCCAGGCTCAGCAGATCCTTGGCCTGTGTTTCTCTGCTGAGAGCCGCTTCCTGAGCCTCACTGGCTCTGCTGACCCCCGCCTTGTGAAGCTCTGCCAGCTCCCTGACAACAGAGACGTACAGGTAGACCATCAGCTTCATGACCTCACTACAGTGCCGTCCCTATTTATAAAAAATAACTCGCATTCGTACTTCAGCCCCCTGGATTTGAAACAATGATGATGGGGTATACCTGTCTTATTCTATTTTGACGCTCTTGGCTCTTAAATGAATGTTTTTAAACATAATTGTAATGCACTATATCTTAATGCTTTTATTTATTTATTGTCAAGCACTTTGAATTACCTCATATTGAAATGTGCTGCATAAATAACCTTGCNTAATAAACAATAAAAGGAACAGCATAAATATTACATTAAAATAAATGTACCTTTATATAAGATTAAAACATATATCTTGATTTGGATATGATCATTTACAGTAAACAAGTCTTTAAACATTAAAATAAATGTACATTTATATAACATTAAAAAATATATCTTGATTTGGATATGATCATTTACAGTAAAAAAGTCTTTAAACATTAAAATAAATGTACATTTATATAAGATTAAAACATATATCTTGATTTGGATATGATCATTTACAGTAAAAAAGTCTATAAGAAAGGAAGTGCGGTAGACAGCGCCCCCCTGTGGCCGTCACTGCGCACTACAGATCGGCATGAGGTTTCCGGTGTTATGGCGACCACCGGCAACATCTTCGCTTCTGTTTCGAAAACAACCGGCTTTGCTTTCAGGTAAACCCCTTCTCACTCAAACTCAACCAAACATTATTTGAAAGACCATTGTTATGCACATTTGTGTCCGTCTCAAGTGTTTTGCACCGTGGAAAGGCTGTATATGTTCCTTCTCTGTTGTTTTACTGTTACTGTTACAGCTTGAATTAACGTGAAGGGGTCTTTGTGAACGGTACATGTTAGCCGCCACATGTACATTTCAGACATTAGCCTCAAATTAAGTATTTTCACATTCAACCACATGAAAGGGTAAAAAGTGCGTTATTATCTCCTTATTATCCTACTTCATGCATGCCTATCAAGTCACTGAGCATGTCTTGGCGGGTTGCAAATCTTAACGCTATCTTAACGCTTGGTTAACTAATGGACTAAAAGCCAAGAGTTTGGGAGTTATGTTGTTTGTAATGAGCTGTCCAAAATGAACTGTGCTTCTTCTCTGTGAACCTACGTGCGACAGAAACAAACAACCCTAGGGATGAAGTTGACTAGGGCTTGTAAAAAAAAAGAAAGACCTGCTTTGTATCACCGTTTTTTAAGCATACAGTCTATGGTTTTAACATGTAGCTTGCTGTTGACATGTCTCAGATATAACTGTTGTTTTTTAATGCAGCACGGGAGTTTTAATCATCCCGTTACATCACGTCACGCCCAAAGCAAAGAGTGTTTACTGTTATTTTTGACCAAGTAACTCCTTGAAAAGTAACATCAGAGGTGGAAGAAGTACTCAGATCTTTTACTTAAGTAAAAGTAGAAGTACCAGAGTATATAAATACTCTGTTATAAGTAAAATCCCTGCATTCAAAATGTTACTGAAGTACAAGTACACAACCAATAGCATATTTTTTTTTAATGTTACTCCAGTTGTAACTAAAGTCTTATTTAATCATAATCTGCAAAGTAACTAAAGAGTAAAAGTACACTATTTACCTCTGACTTGTAGTGTAGTAGAAGTACAAAGTAGCAAACATTTGAAATACTCAGGTCCCTCAAATGTGTGCTTGAGTAAAATGTACTTAGTTACTTTACAGTACACCACTGCTAATAGACAGAACTATTGTTTTTTAATGCAGCACAGGAGTTTCAATAATCTCATTACATCCTGTCACGCCCATGGCAAAGAGTTTACTTTAACCAAGTAGCTCCACCTAATAAATGACAGGTGATAACTCTTAACAACCTATTGGTGCCAAACTCATTAGAATTGTGTTACAAGCAACATAAATCCTTCCCAGGTCATTAAGTTGTGGAAAGAGAGCCATTGTTATACAGCACTTTTGGTATCTGCAACAACAGCAGCCACATAATATTACTTTTTTTTTGTGTAAAGAATGTCTGTGGCTTTGGGCTGTGGTAGCACATGCATACTGGAGACATGACAAATGCATCATGTAAATATGACTGTCTGTTACAGTACTTCATAGGTGAGGTTGTAACCAGCCAGCAGTTTTTAGTCACCCCTCCATCTCCGTTATGATCGCTCAGACAACAGTAGGAAACAGGTCAGTAATACTTCCTGCAACAGGACCTTTCCTTATGAGGCGCTCAGACCCGCCTGAGGCTACGCTCCCACACACTTTGCTTCTTGTGCCCACATACTTGTAAACTGTGGCTTTCCACCACGATTACAGAGTCTGCGTCTCCTCTTCTTTTTCCTTCCTTCCTCAGAGGGCTGTGAAGAGAACGGCGGCTGTCTCACATGTCTGTGTATTCCTGACTATGCTGCTCTTGGTAGCGCTGGGCATAGTTTTTTCGTCCACTGTGGTCACCGCTGAGAGAGCTGAGAGCATCAACGACAATCCACTATCACCGCTGCTTAACTACAGCAGCATCTCCCTGCCGCCAGAGCACCTACCCTACTACTTCTACAACAACAAGAGGGTCGCCAAGCAATGCCGCCTGGACCCTCTCTGCCCTTTTAAAGTAAGATATGCACTCTGTCAACTCTTTACTGTTCAAATATTTCCTATGCGTAGGGAGCATGTTAGGTAGGTTCGTTGTGAGGAAGAGCTCTCACAAAGCTCTTGACTAATGACATGAAACGTGTTGTAAAATTGTATTTCTGTTAGTGTTGTGTGTTATTTAGTTGCAGCGCATTGTTTCATGGACTTCACTCAGTTGCATTTTTTAATCATGCTATCTCAGTTCAATGCAATGTGGCTAAATGTCGATGTGACACCGATGCTCCACACAGAGCGATTTAGAAAGGTTAAGAAACATGGCTGTGGCATTTACCACAAAGATACATATTTTTTTCAAACATCAGCAATATTTTTAATCGATAACTCTTAGTTCTCATTTTACTTAAAAAAAAAGCAGCGCATTTTCTCCTACCCCGACTAGAGCAATGCATAAAGGGGGTTTACTTTACTTTAACTAGTGACTTATTTTGCAATTCCAGTAGTTTAGTTAGATCAATAGATGACGTTTTTTTTTTTTAAGTTTGGGTGGTTTTAGAAAGGGTAAATCTTGATGCTGAACTTGTTCTCACTTGTTTTTACAGCAGGATGCACTGCAGGATCTGTCTGCCTGTTGGGGATACGAGAAGAATTGTGATCCAGGGAAGCGCTTCAGCTATCCAGTCTGTACCAAAGCAGACTCTGCATGGTATTGTTCCTCACATTATATAGTTAAACCCTTTATGTTATCAGAAGTATTATGCACTTTACATAATTTACTTTCCACATGTTTTAATCAGCTGTCTATGATGTGTCAGATGCTCAGTATCTCAAGTATATATCTTTATTGAATTAACTGTCCCAACATGTTTTTTCCAAAGTAGAAGTGTATCATTCAAAGCATGCATATTTGAACCACTGTGCTTGTTTTGTCAGGGCCCGTTCACTGGAGGCCGCCCAGGAGCTTTTCTGGAAGCAGGCAGATTTTGGCTACGTCAAGGAGCGCCTCTCTGAGCTCGAAACACTCTGCAAGGCCACCAAGCCAGTAAGTACGTTCATTTCCTTAGTTCCCACGGGCCTGCTGAGTCCACAGGAAGAAACAACAGGTAGAAATACACAGTGTTGAACAAAAGGGTCCACAGACAATAGACCTGAACATAAGTTGCTGTTCAAAGGCTTTAGTGTAGAGAGAGCATAGAATAGAGACTCACAATCTAAGCGGTAATAGCATTAAGTATGACATATTTCTACTCTTATTATTTTCCCAGGGGGACTCCTCTCTAAGATGTAGTAGCCAAACTCGCTTCTGTAAGGCAACAAACCTTTATCTGGACCTGCGTGAGCCGCGCAGAGGTCATGAGAGGTCAGTATTGCTCAAATGTAACCAAAAATGAACACTGACAGATTATGGCTGTCTAAAAACTCATCTATGTTTATGTTGCAGATACAAGGAGGACTTCATCCAGCAAGGAGAGATTGGTGGTCGATGCAGGCTCAACAAGCCGGCACTCGCTGCACAGGGAGAGCACAAGAGCCCCTTGCAATCGTGGTGAGTCAGGACACACACTCAATGTTTGGAAAAAAACAATTATTTTTTCATTTTGACCATGAGGCTAAAAAGACTTTCCCTAGCTGGGACTCGAAGCTAGGAAGCGGTGATGAGAGCACTGAATCCTAACCACTAGTCCAGGGGTAGCCAACACGGTGCACGCGGGGCATGTTCTAAAAATAGCACTAGTCCACCAGACACCTGTGGTGGAACAGTTTCAGGAAAGACTTGACGGTGAGAGTGCCAAATCCTCTTCATCTTTCTACTGTTTTATGACTGTTAGTTAGTGGCCAGGCTAAAACTGTGTTCCCTGACCGGGAATCGAACCCGGGCCGCGGCGGTGAGAGCGCCGAATCCTAACCACTAGACCACCAGGGACCTGATGATCTGTTTGGAGCTCGTGATTTCCAACATGCATTGAGACGTTGTTGGTTTGACATTTGTTCATTTAAAGTAGCTTGCCTCTGATTGGCAGATTGAAACAAGTTATATGATGTGATTTGCCAATTAAAACAAGTCATTTGATTGGTCCAATAAAACAAGAAATTTGATGGCTAATTTAATGTTCTCTTCTTTCTAATGGTGGGAGCGACAAATCCTAATCCCATATTTATTTTTTTATGCTTGATTGCTTTTTTCTTACATCATGACATTAGTTTATCCACTTTTTGCTGTTGACTTTTAGTTGACGGCCTAAATGTAGTTCCCTGACCGGGAATCGAACCCGGGCCGCGGCGGTGAGAGCGCCGAATCCTAACCACTAGACCACCAGGGACCTGGTTCAACACTTTTGAACTCAGGTTATCTCGAACTGTAAAGCATGTACTCAATAAGCTAACTTCAATTCATTTGAAGGGCCTTCTGTCAGCAAGATCATTTATTATATACTTAAACTATTATCCGTCAACATAAGGCCTAACAAACTAGCCCTCTCTAGCTGATGACCAGGAAAAGCCAGTCTGTTGAGGGTGGGCCAGCTCGATGGATAACTCGTCTGACTACAGATCAGAGGTTCTAGGTTGCTCTTCTGTCTCACTTGTGTCACTTTTTCCTCCCACTGCAGAGACATTTATAGAAAGAACACTGTGAGCAGAGAGCTCTAGCTCATAGTGCACCTAAAATAGCAGTACAGAACATCATATTCTAATGATCAGACAAGTTCTATGTTACCATTGATTATTCATACGAACCAGTTTGAATATGTTGAGAATGTTCTTTCCGTGACATTTGTTGAAATGTTATCTTTCACAGGCACTTACAGAGAAAGTCTCAATGGGATGTTGCGCTAAAGACATGGGCATACCATTGAAACAGGATCATACGTATCAAAGCGTCTCAAAGAAGGCACATTCCTGTTCTTTGGTTGCAAATATTTCTTTCTTGCTGTTTTAGGTATGCTGAGCTGCAGACATACACAGAGCTGGACTTTGATCCCATAGAGGATGGACACTGTGACATCGTCATTGAGAAGCCCACTGTTTTCATGAAACTAGATGCTGGTAGGTAATCCATTTAAAGTTCTGCAACCTAAACAAGTAGGTCAAACCTTTAGTTATAATGCAACTTAAAGATAAACAATACTTTTGCTCTTGCATCCAATAAATAATAAAAAAAAACGTTCTTGAAACCTTGTTGTAATGTTGCAGAAATAAAATGAATCCTGAGTGTTATTGTTTGAGTCAAACAGAGTTATCACAAGAATGATATGTGTGTGTTTTCCTAACAGGGGTGAACATGTACCATCACTTCTGTGACTTTGTCAACCTCTACATCTCCCAGCACATCAACAACTCCTTCAGCTCCGATATCAACATCGTCATGTGGGACACGGTGGGTACCTGCTTTCTCCCACGACCGTTTGTAACAAGGGATGTTGTCATCTAGATATTTCTTTAGTTAGTTGTTTCTATTTAAGGTGAACCAGCACAGACTGCTCATTCGTGTGAACATGCCTGTTATCACCACTGAAAATGACCAAAATAACTTTCATTTGGAAATAAACAACAACTTGTGATTCTATGGACTGATATTGCCATTGCGATATAATTCGAAATATGACAGGAAACATCACATTCTATAAAAAAATATATATTTGAATGATCAAGTGCCAAGAAAGGACTTTTGAATGAAGTCTGTAGAAAACAGTGTATTGGACAGGCAACTCCACAATACTTAACTTAAATATTTCCCCTTTACGAGATATTGCGCTAACTATGATTTGGATATTGCACTAAATTGCGATATCAACGACATTTCGATTAATTGTGCAGCCATACTTTGTGTTACCTAAACAGACATAGTGGGTCTCAAAGATACAACACAAGATTGCAAAATGGAAATGCAGACGGTTATTTTGATTATCTAGTCACATGCAGCGGCATATTTTAGTTTTTTACTGAAAGAACCCGTTCCAGAAATGAAAAAAACAGAGACATACAATCATTTTAAAGGTGGGGTAGGTAATTTTGGAGAAACCAGCTCGAGTGCGCTAGATTTTGAAAATACACAACCGGAACAAATCTGCCACTTCCTTACAGAGCCCCTCCTCCAACACACACGAACGCGCACATGACCAATGAGGGCACGAGATAAGTTTGTGCACAGATGGAAGGCTGACAGGCAGGTAGGCCATCCAGTTACTTTAGCCGGGCCGGCTCAGATGATTGGTCGTGCTTTTTACAGCGCTACGGCTTCCACAGATGACATGTTTTTATGGATTTGTTGTCAAAGCACTTAAGATATTCATTGCTATCAGGATGTTAAGAGCATTCCATGGAATATAACAAAAAGTGTATCTCGAGCCGGTTTCTCAAACGTTTTAAGTAAATGTCTGAAAATTGAGATTGGAATCGAGAACTAAAACCCAGCCAGAAAGACAAACATGAATTTCTATTGAAGTCACAGTTTTTGTTTAACAAGTCAGTGGCATATGTGGCAATGAAGACATCAAGGGGAAACAGGAGTTGAAAAACAGACAAACTTATCCGGCCCATTGTTCCCCCGACTGTGCACAGAGGGAGAGAGGAAAAGGGAAAGAGAGAAGCCTGCCGGGGAGGAGGAAAGCAGTGACCTTCCAAACAGTGGCAGGCTGTCACACAGCAGATTTGATATAAAACCACAGATTCAGAAAAAATGCAACCAGCTGAGTTTGTAAACAGATGACTGAGTCTGGCACTGCTATAGGCTGTCATGGATTTTATTGTTGTGTTTTTGATTTCAGATCTGTTCTGTTCTTTTACGTCTTTTTTCACAGAGCGTTTATGGTTATGGAGATCTGTTCGCTGCAACATGGAGGGCCTTCTCAGAGTACGACATCATCCACCTGAAGACCTACGACTCGAAGAGAGTAAGTGTGATGTCACCTCTGTGATCCTTGTGCGCTCCTTCTTTGTATAGGTCTTGGCCTTTGGTCCACATCTTTTTTGTGCTTAACACTAGACCCGCCAGAGGTCGCTGTATACCTAAAACCGCCAACGGGTCAAATTGACCCGCTATTGATTTTCAAGGTACAATGTTCTTTTATTTATCATACAGAACAGTGAGTTTTGATCGCACAGGGATGAAACTTATGCCAATAGAATCTGTGGACTTAGTTTGTGCAGATAGCATGAATTATTATTAATTATTAATTACCAGTGCTGATTTAAACGCTTGGTGTTAGACTTGTGTTTTGTTTAGGTACACATCTCTCTCTCTCTCTCTCTCTCTCTATCTATCTATAACTATCTATCAATCTATCTATAGCTATCTATCTGTCTATCTCTCTATCTCTCTCTATCTATCTATCTATCCATCTATCAATCTATCTCTCTCTCAATCTATCTCTCTATCTATAAGGAACCGCAGTAGACAGAAGGCGTTGCTATAGCAACACGTCATGTTTACGCTGCATTTTCTATGAGGTAAATATTACCCGCTGGCGGATATACTGTAGGTATAAATGGCAATTTCTTTGGTGATTTTTTCAATCTGACTTCATATTGACAATTTTTAACAACAGAGGGTGCTACATAACACACTTTCAGGAAAAGTCACGGACTGGGAAACTTGAATATTTTATTGAAAAAAAGTTACATACAATTAAAAGAAAAACAGCTGCGGGTAAAATTGACCCGTTGGCGGTTCTAGTGTTAAAAGTTCATAACTGGCTTCAATGACCCATAAGACTCTCATTGGCCGCCATGTTAAAAGCTGATCAAATCCTCTTACAGTTTTTCTCAATCGCTAAACCCACTATTTAGAATCAAAATTCCTTTCATCAAACCAACAGCACAGCCATCGAAACAGAAAACCATTTCTCTACAACAGTATACCATTTCTCATTGATATCACACAAAATGCAGATGCTAAGCAGTGTTTTGCAAAACAGATCACACAATTCTCTAACTGAAGTTACAATTCTCTACACAAAGATCAAAAATCTGTTGTGTAACTCATGTCTACAAAACAACAAATAATCTTCTCACAGTGGATAACACTTCCTCATAAACTTAGACCATAGCTACACTAATTGACACTTGATGTGCAAAATATTAACACTTGTTATCAGTCAATCACCCCATTGAAAAAGGTAACTCCATGGAATGTACTGTATACCTTACAGTAATGATGTTACATTGAAAACATTTACATGATAGAATTTGCA